GTCAGGTTTAGAAAATCTTATAAAATGCAAACGTGATGTAGGAAGGACGCGACATACATCGAAGTTGGATTATACTTGTACCTCAGGCGATTGCTTTATCCTGTAATGACATCTTACCATACGAGACGTCTCATCGCAAATCGCGATTTTCAATAACTGACTTTTACTGTTGGTATTAATCGTAAATTGTAATACTGTACATAACGCAAAGACACACGTTTACCCAAGAGTTCAAACAAATTTTACATTTCCCTTTTATACATGCCTGAGTCTTTGCGATTCTTATATTCTACGTATATACGTAATGTGCATATGGCGGATCATAAACGTACCTGCACTACTGCAGGTTACGTGCCTCGAAGCGAGCGTATGTCAGGATGCAATACGCATTAAACATTTCAAAGAAATTTGTAAGAATCATGACGTTAATGAATAAATTTACAGATTATTTTTATAATTATTGTATTCCTGCTTTCTAAAAAAAGAGATTACATATACGTTTTCTTTTCAGAGAAAAAAATATAGTCAGTAACACTTTGTGCTTCGAGATTTCATTTGGAAAGCTTTTCTATTATTCCATTTGAATCCACTAAATTCCCGCGAGTCGACGAAATGCAATTACCGAGTAATTCGAAGGACTATAAGGCAAGATGGTGCGTTTTACAGATTGGCATTCAGCCAGCTTCTCCTCGGCAAATCATATTATCTTAACGAGACCAGATAACGCCCTTTTGTCAATGAATAATGATGTGCGAACGTATTGCGCTCTCCCAACCAAAGACTGTCACAATCGGTAAATGAAAAAGTTCTCTATTTGCGTAATTAACTACTAAGACAAATTACATTTCTTTATATTCTTTATATTTCATTAAAATTGTGCGATTTTAAAAGCTTATAGAGAAAAAGAAATTATTGATACAACCAAGGAGATATATTTATCCAGAATGAAAAAGTTAGATTTACATTACTGATTTATTTGTTCTGATATTTAATTTTTTACATTTTAATTGTACAATAGAATATACCGAATATTTGTAACACATATTTATAACATATTTATATTAACATACATTTTATAAAGTAATAATATGTAATCTAATATTTTTTTTATTTCTCTTTTATTCCCTATAATTATTTCATAAATTAATAAAACAATTCTCTGTCATAATTTTAATAATGATAAACTATTTCACTGGATATACATGATGCCTGCATTGCAAATAAAGTTATTATGACATAATTGTCATATAGCGAACGGTTAAGTGGAGCAGATATGGAAAAGTTTGTTTCTCTTATTTTGCAACAAGAATAGTCGTTTCAGTGTAGAAAGCCTGTCGAAGTATCGCTATTAAAGCGAGTTTATTCGTCGTTCTCGTTGACCGAACGTTCTCCATTATGAAGAGTGAGATAATACAGATGTATAAGGTGTCTTATACAATCTGGCACTCAGCCAAGCTCGCCGGGCAGTTTCATACTAATGAACACGACAGATGTTACGAAACTCAATTTTCCATATTGCGTGTCGACGAGGAATCGCATTATTCCTTTAACGCGATCACATCTTTCACATCTTTTGCATTAAAATAGAGATACAGATAAAAGTGACCAATCAAAAAATATAGTTGATAATAAAATATACAAACATATTTTTGATGAAAATGTTTTTTGTCAAAACGACAATTAATCGAATTTTTCATTAAAGAAAACTTATCTTTAATTTGCTCAAAGAAATTAAAGTTTTTTTTTTTTAACGGTTGACGCGCTACGAATCGTTTTCCGTTTTGCCGCAATGAACTTCCGCATTGTAGTATACGTACGCGGAACAAAGAATACGAGGAATGTGGACTTTCGGCTTTGTAACGTCGAGACTTACAAAGCCGTAAAAGAGGATTGCGGGGCGTTTCGTACGTTTTGTGCTACAAGGGAATCTTTCCTTCTTTGCCTCGACAAAAGTCTCACCATTACCATGTTTACATTCATCCGTTAACAACTTATGAAACGATTCCTTGCAAGAAAGAAATCGACGAAACTATTTCTCCACGAGGGAAATGTTGCAGAAGATAGATGAAAATTTTGTTCAATATATTTTCATGTTACTTGCAACAATGATAAATGTGTGAAATATAATCTCAGGTAATCAAACCGACTTTACGCATAATGGCGAAACTTCTTCAATAAAGAGATGTTTCGGAAATTAACTCTCTCGTGCTTTTAAATTTATTGTGATAATAAAAAACATAGGCGTAATAAATAGGTATAAGTCGGTATTCATAGTCGATACTTATATTCAAGGGCCGTTTTAAGTATATTCGAGACGATCTTAAAAAAATCCTGGCACCGTCGACAAATTACTATTTTTGTTGTATTAAAGATTCCCCTACATTAAAGAAGATCGAAAAAATGGTGATTTTTCATAATTTTTTTGAAAAGAAAGTCTAATATTTATCGTTAAAAAATTGTTGCACGTTTTAATATAATTATTATGGAGTACGTATACATTTTTATGTATTTTATGAGAAAAAAATATTATAAATAATAAAAAAAATATAAACATTTAGACGATATTAAGAATCTTTATTTTAGACCATGTATGTGAGAATACAATCAATACTAAAAATTTTAAATGCCTATTACGGTTGAAGCCGGATCTTCATTGCTTTAAATAATTTAAACTTGAATTACTAATATATACTATATACGTATATATATATTTTTCTATTACTATTATATATATGTATATATATATATATATATATATATATATTTACATATATATCATATTGTAGTCTTTTCGAACTGCGCGCTGAAATTGTTTTTCCAGATTATAAACGCAATTAAAACTACTCTAGTAATCACGAATTAAATTGATAAGCAATTTTTTAATAATTTGCTACAATCAAGTATCATATTATAAAGATAGTAATATGTTGAAAAACTGTTAAATTTTTTTTTATTGCGAAAAATATTACCTCGGCTGGGACTTGAATCCGGATCTCTTGTATTCCGTACGAGCATGCGTCCTAAGCCAAGCCCTCCATGAGCTTATCTAATAGCTTAGGATCTAACAGCTTAGAACGAATTATTTAAAGCAATAAAGATCCAGCTTCAACCATAATAGGCCTTTTTAGTATTGATATTTAGTTTGGCGCCTTGCCACGACGCGACGTTATGATTTTATGTACATCCTAGTGACTGCAATTTTTGCCGGAGACAAAAAATTAAGAAATATTTTTAATTGTTATAATTTTTTGTTCTAAATGAATCTAAGACATTTAAAAAAATATTTATATATATATTAAAATTTTGTACAACTTTAAAAAAAAAAGTTTTAATTTTCACTAGGTAGCGTTTTTATTACAAAAACAATTATTAATGTTGATTTTTATTTAATTTTTTAGTTTCATCGAGGATGGTTGACTATTAGTTATCTAACGAGCCTTATGAAAAGTCGATTGGTCAAATGTTTTTTTTCAATCGTGTACACAAAATTGAAAAAATGCAAAAAAGATTTTGAAAAACTCACGTTTAAAATTATCGATTTAATTCTTGAGTACTTACAGTGCTCTCAGATGCTAATTTGTTATTCCAGGAATAACAATAATTCTTCAGCTTCCTCATGGAATTCATTTCGTGCAATTTGATTTGAGCCATTCTACGAGCTACTCGGGCCTCTCTTGTGCTACTAACAAGAGAACCGATTTTAATGAGCTTTGGATATGTTGCAGAGCATAAAAAAATATTAGACTCTTATTTTTTTGCATTTATCTCGAGGTTTAGGGGGTGAAACATATCCTCTCGAAAAAAAAACCATTTTTTTTTCTTTCGAAACGAATATCATTGAAATTACAAGAGATAGAAAAAAATTTCCAGAATAAAAATTAAATGGCTTTAAGAGTACTTTAAAACTATAATTAAAAAAAGATTTTTTTGATTATCTATTTATTATATCTACACACTCGTACAACGCTGAAAATGTATACCGATGAACTTTGACTTTTGCTCTAAAATTTTTTTCGAAATATATTCTCGAAGAGTTGTATTATCGATTTATGAAAAAAATATTGACTTTTTTTTACTCTCTAATGTAGAAGACTCCCTTAAGTATACTTTGTATTGGTATCACAGAATTTTTTTTTAAATCCCTTTTTTCACGATTAAAATACCGCTGTGATCTATTTCGTGTCAGAAGCAGGAAAAAATAAAGAAATAACGAAATACTAATGAATTCGACGTAAGTGCAGACAGTAAAAGAGTCCGGTGTTTTAGTCGGAGCTTCATTTGAAAATTACGGCACACAGTTAGGTATGACGGTACCCCGATCTCATCTCGCGAAGGATCAAGCCGACTGAGAGGATTAAACGTGATAAAGCTGTCCATTATGTCAGACGAGAAATTTCGTGATATAAATCTCTCCATATAAATAGATGACTGGCCGCGATTGTTCATACATGCGACATTATATGTGCGATAATGCAAAAAAAGGCGTAGCTCGTTCAAATGTTACCGATAACGGTCGTATCAACCGCGGCAACCGGTCGGTGTGACGAATCGATAGCTTTAAAAAGCCTACTTGGACGGTTGCTTTAAGAACAATCCCATGTTTTACGAGTAAGAAGCTTTAGCCTGCTTTTCCGTGTCGCTGCGCTTTATGTCCCCCGACACGGACGGACGCGAACGATGTTGGTATTTCTCGTCAAGTCATCCACTTGCCGGATGCACTGAGTGACGTTTGCGCTCTCCTCTTTCTCTCTCTCTCTCTCTCTCTCTCTCTCTCTTGCTCAAAAAAATCTCTCTTTTTCATCCTCTCGGCGGATCTCATCCATTATTCCCGCGAGTCTTTATCCGGCACGGTGGAAAGAAGCGCGTTTTCGTCAATTTGACTTTGTAATGTTATTCATCGGGCGAGCAACACAAGGCTGTTTAATTCAAAATTGTGAAATACTGTATTTGTTTTTTTACAATAGAACATTGTAAAAAAATTCGAACATTGTGTGTTTCAGCTAGCACCAATCTCGTAGGCAAGTTCACGCAGAGCGTGCGGAGAATCGTCCAGGACGTAAAAGACGAGGGCACGTCTAGTAAGTTTGATATTTTATCACATTCATCTCGCGTAGGAGTTTAATTAAACTTTAGCCGCTACCTTGGCAAATCGCCGCGACTCGATAACCTTACACGCTGAAAAAGACTGCGAAATGATGAAGTGTTCGTGCGCTTCCTCTTACTTTAAGAATGCTTTTTATACGGCTCGCTCGTAAAACACATTCTGAATTTATGATCTTCCTCAATAATCTCATTCAGAAAAATGCAATCTAATAAAGATAATTCCTGTGAACAATTTTTTTTAAACTTATGAATATAAATGGTCTGAGAAAGAAGCTTTCAAAATATAATTTGTATATCTATATTCCTTACAAGAAATTTAATATTGGCTAGTTTAACCTTCTCTCTGTATACGAATATTTTAAGGAACATTCTTAAGAAAACTTTGGAAATTTTTTATTCAGCAACATTTTATTTACGTTTTTATTAGCTTAAGGCGTATTTGCACTCTTGTGCATCTGTGCACAGAAAGAAAGTTAATACTAATCAATTTATTATTGGAAGACGGTAATTATAATTATTTATTTGGAGTACTAAAAGCATTGAACAATAGTACTTTTAATACTTTAATACTTAATATAAGTAATTAATTACTATCTTTTAATATTAAATTGATCAATATTAAATATTTATAAGGGATTTCTTATATCTTTCAAAACAGGAATGTGTACACAGGATATCCTATTCGTATTAACTATTAATCAACTTTTGTACATAAATTTAGCTTTGAATCTTAATTCATTTCTCAACATTAAATAGTCAATATTTTTAATTCTTTCTTTCTTTATACATGCTAAATAACAAATTAAAGATAAACTGCGAGTATTCGTTCCAAGTATAGTAATTCCGATGAATCAGCAATAGAGACGTTTGTACGTATCACTCGGAAATAAGTGTCTGGCAGTCTGCCAACAACGAACGTTGTTAGTTGTCCCATGAATGGAATCGAAGCGGAAACTCTTGTATTCGATTGGAGCAGAGAGTAACGGCGTGTCGACTGTATTAGCTGAATGGACGGAAACTTCGTCAGCTGAGAATTCTGTCAGGCTTAGATTAACGCTTTCCCATCGACGAATGTGGAACTATGATTAATTCCGACATTAACGTTCCTATGCCGCTGGTGAAATGCGATCAGATAAATTCCTAACGTACGATAATAATATATGTACAGGATATCCACAATCTCGATTTTAATGGCAAATTTCTCAAAGAATTTAAAATCAATCTAGCCTTAATAGAACAATCAAGAATAATTATTTTTCGTAACTATATAGCAATAATTTTTGAAATTATTTTTGTACATCTTTCTAATCGAGTCACAGAAAAAGCCAATTAAAAATTAATATCATTTAATATCAACTGAATAAGAAAGTAAGGAATAAAATTTTTTAAACATATTTTATATAGCTCAAAATGTGCTTTTTATCTTTGGGATTTGAACTTTTCCTAGAAATTTGATGAAACTATGGCGGAAACACGTCGACTGAGTTGCTTATCGTATCATGCTCGATTTATTTATGTCGAAACTTTTGACGTTATCGTGGTGCCGAGTTAATTGAAAATTAATTGAAGGCGACATTCGCATGCGCGATGCCTTCGTCGTTTCCATCGCGCTTTAATTTAACGGCCCTGTTAAACGCGACGTGCAATAATGATTGAAGCACACGATAAGGAAAATCGATCAAATACAGTCGTGAGGATAAAATGCGTCGATGCACGACAGAAGTACCCGTAATCGAGGGGAAATTGCCCGTGCTTCCGATACTTTTCGAATTGCAATAAGGCTTCTCTGCGGCGGACGCAGGTGGACAAACGAAGGAGGAAGTGATCGAGACGAACGAGAGGCTGAGAGTTGTAAGGATACGTTTGGATGGCAGCTACGACACCGCCAAGAGGGCCCTCGTCGAACTGATGTGCAAGTACACCGACAGTAAGCAAGTGCGCAACGTGTTCCAGCGTTATAACCTCCTGAAAAATATGATCAAGGTAAGACAGGAGAAACTGAGCGTCATAATTGGATGTAACACTCGAGTGTTTTTGTCCTACGCTTTGTGTTCGTCCCAGACTGTCGCTTGACGTAATTACATTGTAATTATGTTGCCTGATGTGTACAGGTAAACGATAAACAGAGAACAGTACCTCGCTCCTGCTAAAACCCGGTTGAGTCACTTGCGCTTGGCTCTTTGTTAAGGAATTGCTAAGGAACTAATTATTAACTTATTTGCAACCATAATGTAAATTGTAATTAATTTGTTGAGTTTATAATAGACTTTTTTCAAATCACACATAAAGTCTTATATATATATATATATAAAGTCTAGCAAATAACTTCTAAATATAATAGACACGTAACAAATATGATGTCCATTGAATTTTTTTCTCAAATAATTTCAGGCTTCTCAACGTTATTGTATTCCATTTTTCTTTCTATTTATTCTTCAATTAAAATAAAACAAATTTGTTTACAAAATCGTATATAATATTTAATACATAGACATGATAGCTAATCTTTGATGTGACTGGGATAAAAAAATCATGGAAAAAAATAGCAACAAATTGTAAATAATTATAATCATATAATGTATGATGTAAATTTATTAATCCAGGAATAATTTGAGATATTTTACATCCGAGTAGAGAAAATGTCAATTGTAAAATAGAATATTCTTAATATAGAATATTCTAATATATTTTCTTTCTTTTTGAACACATTTTCTTTCTTTTTTTAATAATTATTGTTTATGAATTTTTAAATATACAATTCTAGCATAAACTTGCAATTAAAAAAGCATTATATTAATTAAAGTTTTTATTTTTTACTGTCATAATAAGATATTTAAAAAACATGCTTATCTCATTTAATATTTATTTGGCTTCTTATTTTTTTTTCAGGAAATTGAAAATAAATTCATAATATTCTCAAGTGCCACTAAATCGGAAAACGATTATTAATAGACAATAATCCTGATTTTAATTGGGTGTAAAAATACCTTAAATGATTTATGCAAAAAGAAATAATATGATTATACCCGAATTAAAAATATGGTTTACGAATATATAATATTTAACTTGTTCTGAAATTTCTCAACGATATATTTAAATTTGTGAATCGAACCGATATTCAATGAAACTGTTGGAGAAGCAATAATTATTTAAAAAAAGATGCAGTGAAAAACAGCGGAAAAATGGCAGATGTATATGATATTTTGTCAGTAAATAGTCAACGGAGCGCAAAATATCCGGACTCATCCGCGTTCAACTCGACGCGAAATTCCCAGCTGCACAAAACCGACGAACGGGCAAAGGAAAAAACTCAAAACGCAACCGTTTTATTTTTCGAAGTGAAATGCACGCTGCAACGAGCACGACGTTTGTTATCCAAGAGATAGATCGCGCACCTACGGGACAAGCAACAAATAAAGATGCATGCAAAAGATAGTCAGCACGATTGCTGAATATGTTTGTAGTCGTGGAAGACGAACGCACGTTATCGTCATCTTTTAGTTCTATTTTTCCCCTTTTTTCGCTTTTTTGCTCCCACGGGAATGTATACACAGAGATTCGCGATCGTTGGTCCCGCAGGTACATTTTCTCGGACGACGACGTTTGTTTCTGGTGTAAACTTTCGTTCCGAAGCAGCCGCTATCGAGAGAATCGAGAGAGCTCGGAGTTTATTCTTGTCAGAGAAAAAACCAACTTGAGATTAATCTTCGAGTGATGCGAATGCGAAATAAAATTGCACCCTGTAAATGGCGCCATTTGTTCCATCGACGGTCGTGTAATTCCGAAATATATTGTTCAAAGTGCTTATATGCAAGCAAAAAATGAAATTTGATACATTAGCACTACAAAAATAAAATTATTACTTTGTTATTGTCAGAAACAATGCATAAACTTGCCATTTGTCGAGTCGTAGTAATCAACTATATTGTTGTTATAGAATTGAATTACACAAAATAATTAGAATTAATTTTCATATGAAACGATTTAAATGATATATTGAAAAATCGATGTTGAATTAAAACAGAACAAAATTAGAATAATGAAAAAGAAACAAAAAGAAACATAAAATAATTTAAAAATAAAATTATAAAATTAAAATTAACTTAATGTTTCATTGATAACGTAGCAACAAAAAAAATTGCCACGAGTAGAACCAGTATTTCTTAATAAAGTCGCTAAATCGAAATCCGCCAGCAAAAAAGATGCCCATCACGTCAGATTTTTAAGATAAATCGAGTAATACATGAACCAAATCAGCGTTTTTTTTTTGCTATATTCATCATTTTTTTTATGCCAAACAAAATTTTATTTTTCAATTTCATTAATGCCACTCTAAAGAGCGAATCTTTATTTTTAAAACGAATTTTTTTTACTGTGCGATTTCTTTTTTATCGAGTTATGAACGTTTTCTGAAATGTAAAATGGTGGATCTAAATTAGCGAATTGAACCTGGAAAGTATTAGATTAGTGCAAAAGTTCGTACCCGATTTATTATTCAAACTTCAAACAGCTGCTATTTTTGTTAAAAATAAAATAAATCTAAATCTTACTCTATCTGATAACAGAATTTAAAAATCTATTTTTTTTTAATTATGTGATGGTTTTGATGGAGTTATAAGCAATCAAAGTCAAAATATTCATTTTATTTAATTTGTAACAACTGAATAACAAAAAGTCATAGGGATATTTTTTTAAAGAGTTAGAAATTTAAAAATTTTTGCAATTTTTTTTGGACATGTGACAGGCCTACAAAGTGAAGAAAAAATTTCCCGTTTTATTTAACTCGTAGTTTTCTATATGTAAAAATTACAAAACTCATCTAAATTCAAAAAATATAATAACCATTTGAAAGTAGAGATTTCAAGCTTTAAAACTCTTTTTTTAAATTTAAATTTCGTTTATTTTTAACAAAATTAAAGCTATTTGAACTTTGAATAATAAATCGAACACGAACTTTTGCACTGATCTAATAGATAGATTTGATCAAAAAAGTATCTTAGGCTTTCTAGAGATCACTGATATTGAATCTGAAAAACTTAAAATATAGAAATTCAAAATGGCAGATCTAATATGGCGAACCAAATGTCACTTTTCGCATTTTTGTCCTCCATAATGGGTCCGCCATTTTGAGTTTCTATATTTTAAGTTATTCAAATTCAGTATTACCGACTTCTAGAAAACCTAAGATACTTTTTTAATATAAATCTATCTACTTTCCAGATTCAATCTGCTAATTTGAATCCACCATTTTCAGAAAACGTTCATAACTCGATGAAAAGAAATCGCACAGCAAAAAAAAATTTGTTTTAAAGATGAAGATTCGCTCTTTAGAATAGCGCTAATGAAATTGAAAAATAAAATTTCGTTTGGCCACAAAAAAATGATAAATATGGCAAAAAACACTGTTTTTGGCTCATATTATTCGATTTATCTAAAAATCGGATTTGAATTCAGCGACCTTGAATCTATTAAGAAATGCGAGTCGTGGTCGTTGTAGGAAAGAAAAGTCAAATTTTGTCAAACAGTGTAATTGATGATTGACGAATAATTTAATCTAATTACAAAAGGATAGAAATATATGTGACTGAAACTACTTTTAAGGAGCAGACAGAAAAATTATAGTAAAATTTAATTGTTATAGACAAAATATCTTTACAATTTGTAAGCCATCATTATAGATATAAATATAAATTAATAATGATACATTTTCTAAAACGTAGATAAAATCGAACTCCTTAAATCGCGTCTGATGAATGGGCCAATGACTTGTTCGAAGACACGCAGATAAAAGATAAAAGATTCGCTGTACAATGGCAACTTGCACAAGCGCGCTGCTTTTTTCCCTCCATTTCCTTTTTACGATAGTAGCCCGAGCTACCGACGGTTTTGCCCTTCCAGGACGTAATTAAGCTGGAGACGCAATATTGGACGCTGGTGGATATACCGAGACAAGAGAAGCAGGAGACCGTGCCCGCTTTCGTGCTGCGTGCTTGTTCCATCATGGAGAAGACCCACAAAAGCGGCGAAGGCGTGAAAACTTCGGCGCGTCTTGCCGAGGAGGCCGAGACTAAGAGAGAGCGCATCGAAAGACTCGAGAGTGAGTATTCGAAGTGCGATAAGCGATCGTTGTCGAGAACGGTAATGGTGGTAGATTTTGCCGGGGGAAAATAGTTCTCCATTGTCCTCTGTCGATTGTTCTTCGTCCGTGTGATTCGTTTTCTTAGCTGCGACTTTGATTACTGTTTGACTTTAACACCTTCAATCGATACGACTCAATAAATAGGAAATCAATTAATTTATTTGTGAATCAATCTTAGATCGTTTCTTTTGACTCGTTAATTTGCACTTAACGAGATTTTACTTTTTAGTTATTATAATTTTTAATTTAGTTGTATTTCTTTAATGAATTTTATTTAATTTTTTTTTAATTTTTAATTTAATTGTATTTCTTTAATGAATTTTATTTATTGATTTCTTTATTATGTCTTAATATTGTATCTTAATGTGTAGATTTATCTTGTAATCTTAATATCTTAATATGTAGGTATTTTGATAATTACAAAAAACCTACACAATTATATATTATACATTTGTGCTCTACAATTGCGAAACAATAGTAACTTTACTTTAAATAAAGAAAAAAAACGAAGCACTACTACGGTCTGATTAAATTTGGGAAATTTGGAGGGATTATTAATATTTCAGATTGATTGCGTTGAAAGTCTGACAACCATATCGACACGCAATTATCATTTCTGAAATTAATTCGTTTATATGAATATATATAATAGTTAACATTCAGACCGTAGTGACGCTTCGTATTTAAAGTAATATATTTAACATAAACGGTCTTGTTTCCAATCTAATAGTAACTTTTTTCATTTACTATAAATTATACGAAAGAGATACGAATTCATTAGTTTTTCTTTAGAAAGCTTTCAAATTGGAATAAAATCCGTCATTTTAAGATCCGTCCAAGAGAAAGATTATATCAAAGTTTTACTGTACATTATGATGAAACATATCTGTAATATGTTATTAATTTTATTATATTTAACTATTTCATATTATATTTAAAGCGATAATATTGACGCAATATTACATTAAAATAGCATTGCTATCGATTATTAATACTTCGTATTAGGAATGCATCAGATCATAAAATTATCGAATATCGGATACCGGATACCGGACATCCGATGTTACATTCTGTCTCGGATATCCGACCGGATTCCGAGAAAGTGTCTTCTAAAAAAAAGAAAGGGGAAAAAGAGTGTAATTTTACAACAACATATAAGATTATTATAACATCATAAATAAAAAAATATATATATATATGTGTGTACTTATTTTTATACTTTATAAGAAAAAATTAACAATTTAATGATATCAAATTTCAACCGGATATATTTCCGGATAGTAATAATATCCGGTCGGATAGTAAAAAAAGTGCCAGATAATACTAGATATCGAATACTTTCCGGATATCCGGTGCATCCCTACTTCGTATAAATATTTTGTTAATAAGATATTAAAAAGTTAGCGAATTTCACTTCTTTCCAGTCAAAGTCAGAAAATTCGAGTTTTTGGAGACAGTTTAGAATTTGTAGAGAATTGAAAAGCTACATAAGTATTTTGTAATGAATCTCTTTTTCTTGTCTTGTTTAGGCTGGTTTTTTTACATTCTTGTAAATATTTAACGAGTACTTGTACAATTCATTATTTTTCTAGGGAACGTGAAAAATTTATCATATTTTTCATTATCGCAATATATGTGGAAAATTATTCGAAAGTTATTCTTTATTTTGTCTCGTACATGCGAGACACTAACATTGTACGATCGGGCGCTTGGGCGTGATTATCACGGATTCATAAATTACTTCAACAAAAAAGAAAACTTATTAACAACGTGAATTGTCGATAGCGCGAGTGCGCGCCGGAGCCGTAATTAAAAATATTCACTGCAGGTATTCTGTCCTCTCTCACTTGTTTAATCAAAGAATCATTTCCTCTCTCTTTGTATCATAGTAGAATGTAAATTCTAGTTGAAATTCGATACAAATGGCTCGAATAAAATGGTTAATTAAAACCATTAATTAACTTGGTTAATTGATTGGAAATTTTTTCTGAGTTTACATATGGATACACATATATCAATGTATATCAATTATAGTTTTATTTTATTATATTTTGTTACTTTATTTTATAGATACCTTTCTATGGCTTTATTTTATTTTATATTTTGATACAGGAGAATCAAAGCAAATTATTTTTTTTTTTTAATATATACAATATATGGTAAAAAAAAACTATTATCAAAATATTCCAAATAAATACTGGCAATAAGAATATATAGACAATATAAACTGTTGGGATAATATTAAATTTAAAAAAGTTACAGTTTGAAAATACTTTTCTATCAAATTGCTTTTCCAGTACTTCAGTTTGATTCTCGGTATATGTAAACATACATATTAACAGCCAACGTTTCCGTTTGGTTTTCATTTTACCAGCAAAAGCAATATTTTCCTGAGCATTAATTAATGCCTCTTGCTGTATGTTGATGTAACTACACGCAACATCCGACATTGGTTCGTGTTTATACTTTTATTATAGTAAAAAGTTTTTACAAAATTCGTTACATCGTCGATATATGTAGCACTTTTATATCGTGTGATATAAAAGCTATTTAATGAAAAAGATTAATTATAAATGTTGTATTTTAGAATTTATTAAGAATGAGACATATAGAATTTTTTAAATAAATTAATTGATTCCGTTTGGTGCTTTGTTTATATTTATATTAAAAGCTACGGAGATTATTGTTCTCCATGATTTAATATATTTCCGAGTATTTAAAATAAAAATCGTATTGAAATGAAACGAATTAATGAATTGATGCTTGTCGTATAGATATGACGACGGCGCAAATTGAAGCTGAGAATACCCAGATGACCAATGATCTGTACAGATTGCTGAAGAAATACACGGGTCTTAGGAATCTCATCAAAGTGTTGAAAGTATGTATTTTGTAATACTTAATTTATGGATTTTGTTGTATAAAAAAAAAGATATTTAGCTCAAGGAAAATTACATTTGGATGAATTCATAATACTAATTCATAATATCTGAAAATGTATCTTAATCCTTATTCGAAATTTTATTGAACATTTTCATTGTTTTATACATATGTAAAAGTATTTCGATATCGAAGTTAAACTTTTCCAAAATGTCTACATTAAACTAATTTTTTTTTATATTATAGCAATTTTTTTATTTTTCTCTTCAAATTTTAATATTTATTGGAAAGATTAATGTTTTTAAATAACATTCTTTCTGATTATAGTAGAATTTGACTTGAGTTGCATTATATTGATTATAATTTCGCGATTATAGTCGTAAAAAGATAATACTGTTTAACAGCGGCGAAACGTAACACCATCATATTAGAACATTGTTATGATCGTCCTTTTTCTTTTTATGTTCCAATAAGTTACGTACTGCTACTCTTATAACGCTTTCCGGTCGATGATACGATGGTTATCATCTACTCGTTTTATGTTCTTCCTCCATGGAGTGTCAAATAAATCGGAGATTAAAGATACCGTAATATTAACCACTTTACGTTATTCTTTGATTCTTTCACGTATATTCGGAAATTGTAGTGTATAATACTTCTTTAAAGCCAAAGAAACCGTTTAAACATATTTCACATTATTTCTCAAGAATTTCTTGTGGCTTAAAGCTATATCAATTATGTAATGCAATTTTTTTATTTCTATTTCAATTCTATCTGTGCTTTATAATGGTTTAAGTACTTTTTTTCGAAAAATTTATTAATTTCTAGTGATGAATACAGTCCTTCAATGCTGCACTTCTAGTGTGGCATATCCAAGGTTTCTTTTCTTTCCCTCTCTCTCCTAACATTTTTATTAATGAAGATATATATACATTTACATATATATAGAGGATATAATTGAATAATTGTGAGGAATTTTGTTGTGAAAAAAACAGACATAATGCGCATAATTTATTATTTATTAATGACCGAAATAAGGGCCATTTTTTATCGCAGGAGGAGTACAACGGTTCAAAGTTGTATCCGATGTTCCCACGTTACACAATACTGAAGGACATGATAAAGGATATAATGCACAACCCAGACTATATGGAAGTCTGTCACGAGGTGGACCAAGCATAGCGGCCAGACCCCCTCCACCGTTCGCCACGTATGACTCTGTAAATTCTTCGGAGTTGCCGTATGGTCGTCGGTGAAGGGGGTGAACCACAGAACGCTTCAGTTTCGACTGATGATTTTATTTTTGGACAGAGCAATTTCTGTGATCTTGTGTTTTATCCTTTACATTCGCGAAAAATTTCCATTCCCTTACTCATACCTTGACAAGCCATTCGTCAGTAATCGTCATCTTTGTTCATTCAAATCTTGGGGCAAATCTGAAACAAATTGCGTCACGCTTTTATGAGTCGTACACAATTTCTCGCAGGTAAGTTAGACCGACTCCTCTTCGTGCGTGTTTTGTGAAGTTTCGACAAGAAATGGGAAAGATGACAAGGGGTTGAATATCGCACTGAAGTACGTCATCGAATGTCGTGGAGCAGCAATGAGCACCTCGACGTGCTATAAGAGCACCACATGAAGATGAAATAGTCGTGGAGTTAAGGTAGGTCATAAGGTCGTTCTCATATATCCATAAGAATGCTGCTACTTACTTTAATCACATCGCAAGAAAGAAATAAATCTACGGAAAATAAGCTTTATTCATCGCTTAATAAAGATAAAAATATTATTTTACGAGAATAAAAAAAGATTAGTTTTATATAATTAGATGATTTTAATACATTATTACATTTGAGATAAATAAAAAAATTGAAAATTAAAAAAATGATGTCGCACTGAATTTTCATGATTTCAAGATTATCAAAAAATTCTCGGATGAAATATAATAACGATAAAATACTAGAACTTTAATTTAAATTCAATATTTAAAAAAATCCCATTTGTCACTTTTTTGTGAAGAGAGATTCCGAATCCTTCCAAGTAAATAAGTCTAAGTAGCAGAATTCATGAGATTTCATGGTGGAAGCCAAGAGATCGTTTTATAATTTCTGATTTTGGGTTGAAATAGTCGCTCGCACGTCACAAAGAAAAGAGGCTAGATGCGCTATTATTAATAGTGAGTGTCGTATGCATGTGGTATACCGTAATCAATTAGGCCAATTTGCAAGATCTATGGAGTGTGAAGTAAATTCGTATAAGACTGTGGGCGTGTGTTTGTACATAGGTGTAGCTTGTGTGTGTGAAAATAAGCGTGAAATTGTGAGAGCGGTATCAATATGGAGCACATTATTACCTGCTTCCTGCTGTGTAGGACTCTCGTTATAAAGGACATCGTCGGTCTCGCGCGACCGAATATTCGCTTTACCTACGAAGAGGACAAAGATTAAACTACTCTCGAGCAATGCTCTACGAAATGAAAATGTATTTATAATGAAAAATATTAATTAATGATTTAACACTTAAAACTAAGATTTACAATATGGTTAACTTTGAATATGAAGATTTTATTAAAATATTTGGATATACTGTGCGTACAATTATATATTTAATGTGTAAAATATGAAATATTTGAAATCGCTTTTTATCAGCGAACAGAGACAAAAATTAGGTGGTACGAAATATTTGAGGAATACTGGAAATAATACACTAATATGAATGAGAAATAATGATTTAACATTTCAAATAAGAAAAATTTATAAAATCTATTAATGTAAAAGTTTTTGTGTCACAAATTATTTGAGTGTCATATATTTGATATATAATATTGAAATATGTCAAATATGAATCCATGCATTTTAAGATGAGAATGTCTTGAAATTGAAGTATATACAGGATGTCTGGAAATAATCGCTAAATATTTCAGGCAGGTAGAGAGGACTAAATTGAGTCGAAAAGTCCTCCACCATTTTGTAATTTTCGTAATAGTTAACAAGATATTACTAAAAATTGCCAAATATTGGTCTTATAATAATTTTTTACTCAAATACTATCAACTTTATAGAAAAGCTGCAAGAAACAAAAATCATTTGTTTTCTTCTCTTAAAGATAGTTCTAAGAATTTTTTCAGAATTTTTTATCAACTTTTTAGTACTGCATTTTCTTTTTTTTTTACCAACATGAGAAAATACGGTATTAAAAAATTCTGAAAAAATTCTCAGAACTTTATGAGAAGAAAATAAATGATTTTTTTAAAGTTAATAGTATTTGAGTAAAAAATTATTTAAGACCAATATTCGGCAATTTTTAGTAATTAATATCTTGTTAACTATTGCGAAAATTGCAAAATGGTAGAGAACTTTTCGACTCAATTTAGTCCTCTCTACCTGCCTATAAAATATTTGATGATTATTTTCAGACCTGTATAATAAGTTAAAAATATATATTAATTAAACAGATTCTACAGGTTTAAAGTGAAGCTAATTTATATAGACCAAGAGACCATTGCACTGTAGTGATTTTGTTACCATAGCGACTAGTATGGAAAATGAGTAACCTTTTATTTCATATAAAATATAATACAATTTCACGTAAATACAATACATATACATATATTTAAGCCCGGTCGCTTGAAGGGGATGGGCTTTTCAAAATGATCAGATTTTGATTTTTATATTGAAAATGTCAAGATTGAATGTTGTTGCAATCGATAGTTAATATCCTTATTCCAAAACAGGCGAAAACTCCCAGACCCCTTAGAAGGGTGCAAGGGATCATCACACTGGACCAAAGTGATAAATTTTTTCTGAAAAAAAATCAATAGCGACAAGGTTGAATTTTTGTCTACTACTTAATTTTGATGTCAATTGTCGAGACATATAATTTCCATATCTTTTAGATGGTCACAAAGGCAGCCATACCTATCTGAACAAGTACAATTTTTTTACTCCATGTAAAATTGTACGTATTTGGATAGATATGGCTGCAACAACATTCAACCTTGATGCTTTCAGTAAAAATGCTCAAAATCTGCAACATTTTGAAAAACCCACATCCCTTTCATCAACCGCGACCGGACTTTAAGGGAGAATATCACTGTGATGACCGAAAAAAAAGACTATCTACGTGAATTTTTTTGTGAAAATTAATAGCTTGTACGAATTATTGTCTTTATATATTTAATACATATATTTACGAAATTATTACAAAAAATTTATTAAATAATATTAATATTTCTAGCCTCAGTGTTCATTGATGTACACCTCGTCTGGAAAAATGGATGCTCGTGCTGCGTCCGAATGGGAGATTTAAAATAAATTTTTTTTTATTTTTTTAAAGTATATGAGTGTAATTTCAGTTAAGCGTACTGATTTTTTGATAAAATAATTTTAAACAAAATGGTGCTGTTTTAAAAAAAGTGATCTCGTTTTTGCGAAAAAAATCATTATTTTTTTAATTGTTTTTTAAAAATTAATCCAATTGAAAAATTCGTATGCTTAACTGAAGACAATTTTGTTGTAAACATTCTGTCCAAAATTCAAGTCATTTGGATAAAAATTGGCCGAGATATGTGAGCGCCCAGTCACGAAAATGTGGTTTTGAGAAAAACGTGTTTAAAGTTTTACTGTTTAGTTTATGCATCTGACTACGTACTACTTCATCATATTTACTATAGTTTCGTTACAAATTTCAACATAATATTTTGGGAACATTTTTAAGACTCCAAACGTTACAAAAATGCAAAAAACAAAAAATCGATTTTTTTAATCCGTCACAGTGGTATTCCTCCTTAAATATATATATTTTTTTCTGCTTTACATAAAATAAAAGATTACTCACTTCCCATACTTGTCGCTATGGATAACAAAAACACTACAGTAGCCTCTTGATCTAATACATGTATACGATCTGAGTTATTTTAGCACTGAATATTTAAGGATAAATCATAAATTTATATACAAAATGTGATTTATGAATTTTTTTGGAGTTATTTTTTTGGATTATATTTCCGATTACATGAAGCGATCTGAAGAATATTTTTTCAAGCCGATTTCAATGAAAAATCAATCTTTATACAATATAATTTACATTTTTATCAATCACTTTTTTATGTAACCAAAACTATGCATGTAGTGTTGAATATTAATCAACTATATTCTGTGGTATACAAATCATAAATATTAATGGTCTGTTTAAAATACACGCAATGCCTTCATTACAAATCGCGAGATTAGCTAAGATATATGGCATTTGTGGATCAACTAATGTTTCTTTCGTGTGGGAACAGAACGGCAAGGATGTCATGTATACATTTTTATTTTTAATGCAGTGCGAGATTTTCCACGGATACATTCATATACAGGTTAATAGTACATTCGCATCATACACTTAGCACTAAATGCAGTTCTCAAATATTTATATGAAGCGCGATTTATAAGCGCTACAGATCGTATTGAACAGAAAAGAAATTAGTTAATAATTAAATACTGTTTATAAAACTCATTGTTAAACATTTAGCTAATATGAGGTTCCGTATGCTTGACGATAATAGTTGTGAGTAACATTCTCCGTATACATTGTATTAAATAATATAAAATGCTCGGTAAATAAGAGCATTAATTAAATATTAATTTGGCATAACGAACATATCATCAACGTCATATTTATCGTACACACTCCGGTGAAAAAATCCTCGAGAAATTATGCGAGAAGTGCCTAATCGGGATAAAAGAAAAATTATTAACGTTATTAAAGAACCTTCTATTTCTATTAGCTCGCGAGAAATTTAAAAACATTTTAAAATTATACCTAAAGCTTTTTTTCGAAAAGCAATTACAGTTTATCGATCAAGAAATCGCAACGAAATTAAATCGAAGCAGAAAACACGATTTAATCGAGTAAAATTAATTAATAATTTTGAAATTATTTAAAATTACTCAAATTAAAAAGTGCCAGATAATTTGTGTTGAGAATGAAAATTTGTTGATAGTCGGTATTATATTAAAGATCGAAATTTTTGCAAATCTTTCCCGATAAACTTTCGCTCAGAGTTTTCGCATCTGTGTGCATATGAATATGCATATCGTGCTGTTCGATATTGATAAACACAGGGGATATCATCGGATCGGTTGTCCGACATATAAAATGTGCCATGTTCTTAAAGTGCTATACCTCATGTATTTACGTAAAGATGAGACAGAACCCAATATAAGATGCACGTGTTACACGGTCGCGCGTAATGCAAAATGCAACTTATACGCAATTGCACCGACGTAAATTAGCGCCAGCAATTTGAAATGCAATCATAATAAGAGGGTCCTCTAGGATTTTGTTGTTCTTGTATATCGTTAAAATCTATAAGCGTGTAATGATATATTATATATCACATACTAAAGTACTTGTAAAAGAAAAAAATGGCTGACAGCCCGAAATCAAAATACAAAATAATACGCGGCAGACATTGGGACGAAGAATTAAGGCGTCGCTTCTCGTGTGGCGGGCCCTTTTCAATGTTTGCCGATGGTTAGTGTTCCCTATCACCTCAATACTATATCTCCCTTTAAAAACTGATCTAGTACTCAAAACGTGTAATCAAAATGAGTATAATTCATCAAAATGTTTAATCAAACCTAACTAGCATCCTCGAACATCATTTACGAAGCTGGATACAGACGAGAAGCATACAAAATCAAAATAATGCTTTCTATTTGTTAATTTTTAATTAAATGTGCAAATCAAAATTTATACTAAAAGAAAATATTTTAAGAAAAATCCTCTTTTAAAAAAGTGTTGATCAC